TAGAGTCCAGCGGCCCAGACACTCCCGAAGTGAAGTTCCTTCACAGACGCATCTGCTGAGACTGTACTCACAGCGAAGAGCCCGCCGGCAACATGTGCAAAGGACTGGCCGCCCTGCCCCACTCCTGCCTGGAAAGGTGAGCGCTGGCTCGGCTCAAGCTCGGAGATAGGGCGTCTGCTGGGGAGGCACCCAGAGCCCTGGGGGGAACAGGTGGATGGTGCTTGGTTGCAGGGACAGCTGTCTGCTGTGAGCCGGGGAGGGCTGGAGAGAGCGGAGCCAGGACAGGGACACGGGGTCCCTGTGCCCTGGAGCATCTGCCATGCACGCGGGAAGGCTGTGCGTTCAAGGTCCAGCAGGACTCACACCGCACTGCCCGGCTCCAAGCCTGGCTCCCCCATCCCCTCGGAGTGCATCGGACAGCTCCCTCCCTCTCTGCGTCTCAGTGTCCCTCTCAGTGAAAGGGAGCCAAGCTGCCTGCCTGGTCTGGGTGTGAGGGTTGGTGACTGTGGAAAGGCAACACTGGCTGTGCCCGGTGACCGTGACCGTCCGCGTCCGCCTGGTTGGGGGGCGGGGGGCAGGGGCTTGCTGGCCCAGGCCTTCAAACTCTCCGTAGAAGGAAGCAGCAGGGCTGCGGACAGAAGGCGCTGGCCATGGAGGTCATTTATCGGCTGCCATTCTTTTGGCAGATGGAGACGCCTGTGAGCCCCCCTGGCTGCCTTAAGCTGGACAGTTTTCTGGGGGATCCTACGTGTCTGGCACAGCAGTTACAGCACCTGTCTGACTTGTTGGAAAATTTAACCCACAATCCTGGCTGATGCAGACAGGAGGGTGTTTCTCCAGGAGTGGGTCTGAGTGAGGTGGGCCAACCTCCGTTTTTTGAAGGGAACCAGGTGATCCCTGTGCACCCCGAGTCACCCCTCGGCGCTGGCTAGGAAGGCCCAGCAATCCAGGGGGCCGCCAGGACTTCTTGTCTCTCAGCTCAAGCCTTCTTTTTGATGGCTTTTAACCTAGAAATAACCTCCAGATGCTGTTTAAAGAGAAGCATTGTAGCAAAGGGACTTGTCTACAACGATACTGGGACTGGAATGAAACCCGCTCTTACTTGCTGTTGTCAGAAGCACAGATTATTATTTAAGAGATGCGTGCAACAGTAAGGAGCTGCCATGGTAGATAGGTTGTAAGCAGGGGTGGTGCTGGCCAGGTGTCAGTGCTGGCTGCTGTCAGTGCCCTGCCTGTCCCTCTCTCTAGAGAGGTGGGGACAGGAGAACACGGGCAGGTGAGGGAGGCGCCCAAGTTCCCTGAATATGAGATGATGCCTCGTTAGTTCCTTTTCTATTTTTGCAAATCTGAGAATCGCAACCTGCCTGTCACAACTTTAAACAGATGCGTAGAGCCCACTTGATGTTTGAAATCCTTCTGTACTTTCCTGTAGTGGCTAGAGCGCCCCGTATTGTTTGGGGAGCGGTCGGCTCGGGAGTGGTTGGGACATCGGTGTGCCGGGCGTTGTGTGGGCCGTGGTGCCTGCCTGGCGTTTGGTCTGTCACCGGCAGCTGCCTGCAGACGGTTGGCCGTGGTACTGATGTCGCTTTGATGTTCTTGTCAGCATGCACCGCGCTCCCCGGAGCGTGCGGACGCAACACTTCCCGCACTGACCCGCTCACCTTCACGTCTGATTCACTCAACATTCAGTACCGCTTCTTGTCCCTCTAGTGCACAGTCCGCTCTAAGTCCAGGACATGACTAACGCTCACGCAGAACCTGCGGAGGCGAGAGGAGGATCGCCTTTGGCACGGGCCTCCGGACCCTTTTGATTCCCTGGCGTGTGGTAGACTCTGACATCACTGTCCTATTCCTTGAATGTCTTTTTCAGCATCTGGTACCATTGTAAATGGAGTCACCGTTCTGATCGCAATGCTGCCTGAGTGGGGCTGGCAAACATGGAGATGGTGAGCCTTTAGCACACGGTACTCCGGGAGAGACCGTGTGTCCTAACGGGAAAGCCACATTTGAATTAATGCTTCCCAGCCAACCTGCTCTCCTGGCTCCGCTCTCCACCTCCCCACCTCACACCCCCATGCTCCCACCTTTCATTCCTTCCCTCGAAGGGAACACGGTGAGGCTCTGTGCTTACAGGCATTTAAAATCCACATGAGCCAAATCAGGACAGCATACGTGCATTACAAAACCGCAGCTGCTTTTAATGGCAAGCTCCATGTAGCGTTCAACTGGGAGTTCTCCATTGCCTTGGAAATAGAATTCGCTTACAAAACCCGATTACCTTGTCATTCGTCACAGTGGAAAGTGCGCTGGTGAGGAGCAGACTGACGGACTCAGTTTGGTCACGATCTGAATTTGCACCCAGGGGCCAGTATTGTCTCTCCCAGGATTCTGTTTCCTATCGCAACAAAGGAAAGCTTGGTCACTTGTTCACTAACGTCCTTTCCAATTCTCACTTCACTTATTTTTTTAAATATTTTTATTGATGTCAGAGAGGAAGGGAGAGGGAGAGATAGAAACATCAAAGATGAGAGAGAATCACAGACTGGCTGCCTCCTGCTTTCCCCCCACTGGGGATCAAGCCCGCAACCCAGGTATATGCCCTGATGGGGAATTGACCGTGACCTCCTGGTTCATAGGTTGACACTCAACCACTGAGCCCCGCCGGCCGGGCAATTCTAACTTCATTTAAGTAAAGTGAGAAACACCCAGTGACTGGCAAGAGATGTGATTAAAGGGACATTCTCCTAAATAATTTCTCTCTAAAAGTTTTGGAGCAGAAAAGAGTCGATTAACGAAAATGGCCAAGAACCACCTGCTGCTGCCGTCCTGGCTGTGCCGCAGGGTCTCCGATGCTGATGGACAGGGTGGGTCTCACTGCCGTGGGGGCTGTAGCCTGCAGGACCCTCCTGTCCCGGAGCGTGGAGAAGCGCCAACCCCAGCCAGCCTGGTGTATTTATGGAAATGATTCTTTCTTTACACATTTAGATTTTTGAGACTATTGCCTATTTAAAGTCAGCATTGAAATCACATATTTGTAAATATTTAAAGAGTCCAAGCATGTGAGCCACCAGGGCCGCCCCCAGCTGCTCCCTGCGGTGCATTGGGACGTGTGCTGGGGGAGGACGGAGTTGGGCGAGCTGAAGCCTCGCTTTCCCAGCGACTTTCAGCTTCGGATTTAGTCTTCTTTTGAACATTCATTTTATTTCCAGAGTCTCTTGAATTTCTCTGAAGAAGTTTAATTTCTAAAGTGAACATTGCTCTTGGGGAAAAGATGAGAGTGTTCCCCAAAACGTACCCATAACCTGCAGCGGCGGGTGCCTATGGTTGCCTTAGTCCACGCCTGTGGACAAGTCCCGTGCCAGGTTCAGTCTCAGCCGACTGGGCAGTGAAGGATAACAAAGACACAGCTTCGGACAGAGGATGTCCCCGGGATCCGACGGAGGGCCACCCCCTCCACCTGTGCAGGAGGCACCACAGAGGCTGCTGGTGTGGGTGCTTTGGTCCCCGGTGCACAGGGGCCTCTGCTGGGTCGCGTGCGGTGACACGGGGAGAGTCAGGAGCTACACACAGTAAAGGGGCAGGTGACGCTGCTCCCTTGTTTCACTAAACGTTCATTTCCCCTCTTCGCTGACGCCATCGGTCTAACACGGACGGTCTGGACTGGAGAAGGGCCTGTCAGCAGGACCACTCCTTACGGAACCTTCTTTCCAGGTTGCTAAGCCGCAGAGGCGCCAAGGCTCCTGGGCTGTGGGCTGGACACACCGCTTTCTCTGCAGCACGAGCGAGTCCTGCAGGCAGCTGAGCTGAGTTAAAGGCTGTGGCCATGAACTGGGGCCAAGGAAAGGTCATGCGGACAGACCCGGGATCACCTGAAGTGCAGGCCCAAGAGAGTGGCAAAGTCTAACTGGGTTGCGTCACCCTTTCGGGAGCAGTGAGTGTGAGGCGGGCAGCAGCCGGGGAGCCTTGCCGTAGAACAGTGCAGATATTTCAGTGCCGCTTTTCATGTGCAGAGTGTGGTGGGCGGCTTAATGAAATGGGGGGCGGGGCAGTCACTGAGAAAACCTTTGTTTCCATCCTCAAACCTTCACACCTGCCTTAGCTATGAGGGCAGAAGGCCCTGCAAGGACATGTCGGCCAGTTTGGGAGAAAAGGAAGAACTCTGCCCTCTGTGTCGGGATCCCTGTGAAGGAGTAAAGGCTCCCAGTGATAAGAAAGCAGGGGGGCGGGGGGACCTCTTGGGGCTCGGGAGCTTTTGGTTCAGGGAGAACGCTGCCCGAGTTGCAGGGGGTGATGCCTGCCTAAGGCTCACGATGGCCCCAAACAGGCCGGGCAGTCAGCCAGGTCCGGCCCGAAAGAGGGAGTGAATCC